CTTCTAAAGGAACATGTCACAGACCTTACAGAGACAGTCGCCAAAGAACTGTTATTCCTAGGTGTTAGAAATATACTCTCAAATAAAACATTCCACATTATAAACATTCAAATTTGATTATGGGAGATACTCTACATCCCTTTACTATGTTTGTATTATCCTGAACAATTATTAAGACTTCAGAATGACACAGAAGAGTTCGGCATGATCCATTCAGATTCCTTCCTTAGTAGCATAGAAATATTAAACAAAGCCCGCTTTATACAGCCCCGTAATGAACTACCCACAAGCAGAAATGATACAGTAAATAATTTACCCTTACATACTGCACATATATTCTTTGTATGAATTTATTGTTTTATGTCTCCTGTTGCTTTTAATTGACATGCTTAATCCCTGAAACTGCAGGTGTTATTCACCTATTAAAAATGTATTTTTCATTAACTACTTTGTATTAATCTGTATGTTATGTAGTTATAAAAGTGAAGAACTGAAGTGTGTGTCTGTAAACAGACCTTTAGAGTTTAAGGGCTTAATGAAATTTATAGCCATGCCGGGTCTACCGATATCACGATTGGATGCAACTCCATCTCTCCAGAGAATGCCGTTCCATTGCTCTACAGCCCAGTGCTCTCTCTGATGTTTGGCATTGGGCATGGTGACCTTAGGCTCATGTGTGGTTGCTCCAGTGCATCCCATTCTATTAGTAGTGCTTTTTAATGGAGATATAGAAGCTGTGTTCGTGCAGTTCAGCGCTTGTTTCAGCAATGGGTGCATGTTAAACGTAGTAGAAATCACTTATTGGATCATTATAATTCATTATAATTAAAATGAGTGTCTGAATAATTGTGGACATATAGTGTACTTTCTGCTACATTATGGTGTATCATATAAGATGAGACACTGTGATCACTCTCACTTTCACAAGTTTCTACTGAGCTCTCCAACAACTAACCAGCTCCTATACAACCCAACATATATGGTCAATAGCTATACATGGCAAATGGTGCTTTTTTATGGAATGACTCAAAACTGTGCAGGGGGACCAATGGACTGTGAGTAGGAACCACTTCAGAAAATTAACATCTCCAGCATTGCTGTTTTCTCCCTCATACCAGTTCATGACATAATGCTTTACCCTTCATGCAAGAGTTATTGGCCATCAATGTGCTCTAGAAAACAAATCTGTCAAATCCAAACTAAATAACATTCCGCTGAATTCCGGAAAACATTCAGACCACAAATTTTTTGTGTGGTTTAGATTGTTTAAATCCTGCCAAGTGCATGAGGCCATTAGTTAAATTACTGTTGTTTGGCAATTATACTTCAGTATTAAATATGGCCATTTTTGTTTGAGGTTATAAGCATTAAAAAGCCATTCGTTCACATTGTTTCTTGGCAGTAACGTTCCTTTCTCTCCATCAGCCCCAGGGTCACACGGCCACAGGAACGTCGCGGCGAGTAATCCGAGAGTGCGTTGATTGAGGCTGTTGTAAACACTCTTCTTAAACATGAGAATGGGCCTTCGCGGGAGGGAGCAGCTTTGTTCTAAGGAAAACTTTCTGGTGGACTGCCAGTGCAGTGAAGGTATGAGACAAGTCCACATTCCTCCGCTCAGTATACCACCGCAAACAAAAAAGGAGAGGAAAATGGAAAACTCCAACACACAGGACCCACTTCACTTCCCCAACTGCATAAGAAGAGAGTGTTTCACTACCTCATTCTGTCTCTCTCTCTCTCTCTCTCTCTCTCTGTCTTATTCATTGACAAGAATCTTTTTCACACTGCCTTAAAGTATGTCTCTCTCTGCCTCTCGCTTTCTCTCTCTCTTCCACTTGTTCTCTCTCCCTTGTTTTCTTGCTCTCTCTAATAACTTCTTTACACTGCCTCAAAGAATCTCTCCTCCACTTTTCTTCTCTGTCTCCTCTCTTGCTCAGATACTTGTTTTTGCACTGCCTAAATGGGCTTTCTCTCTCCCTCTCTATGCCACGAAATTATTTTTTGCACTGCCTTAATATCCTTCTTTTTCTCACTTTCTTTTCTCTCTCTTTCCTCTCTCACTATGAAATACTTTCTTCACTGCCTCAATGTACTTCTTTCTCTCTTCACGCTATGAAATACTCTTTTTTGCACTGCCGCAATGTGCTTCTCTCTCCCTTTTTCTCTTACTCAGAATACTCTTTTTTTGCACTGCCTCAGTGTGCTTCTCTCTCCCTTTATCTCTCTCGGAATACTCTTTTTTGCTCTGCTTCAGTGTGCTTATGTCTCTCTTTCGTGTCTTCCTCTTGCTCAAATACTTTTCTGCACAGCTTCAATGTGCTTTTCTCCCCCTCTCTCTGCCTCTCGCTCTCTTCTCTTTCAGAAGTATTCATTGACAAAAAAATCTTTTTCACACTGCCTCTAACTAAAGAATGTGCTTCTCTCTCTCTTGCTGTTTTTGGGGGGGAGTTGGGGGTGAGGAGAGACTGGACTCTGCTAAAATCATTTCCAAATTCCTGCTCTGCTGAGTGTCGGGGCAGAGGCACATGAAGAATCTATTAGGGGGCCTCTCTGTTGCACTCTGGGAAGGCGGCCAAGCCAGCCGCCGGACAATGGAAATCCAGCTCAACAATAACATCCTGCCCAGGGGGGAGGAGGATGGGGGAGTTAGGTCGCAGTCTGAGGGGCTGCTGGGCCGCTGCGTCGTCCCCGAGTACGTCCCGGGATCTCTGGCTACCTGCTCGCTCTTCTCCAGGACTGCAGCAAATGAAAAAATGTAAAGCTTTCTGACAGAACACCAGAGGTGTAAATGCCTGATCTTTAAAAGTAGCTGTAAAGTAGCTGAGTTGTTTCTGTCAAGTTTCTGCATAAATTGCAAGCGAAAAAAAAAAATTAAAAATACGTTAAAACAACTGATTTTTGCTGCCCATAAGCTTGTTTCCATCACACTCACTTTTGGAGATAAAAATGCGTTACACAATGATGCAATTTTCTTCAAAGGTTTTGGTTTATTGATAAAACATAAACGTAATGTTTGACGTTTTCATCTCTAGTTTCGTGTACGTCACAACTTGTGTACCTTTGGCTTCTTCATAACCTACTGATAAGACATTTTTTGTTATTTTAATATGTTTAATATAATGTTGATATATATTCTTTCCATCTGAACCATTACATGAGAGATGTCATTTTTCTGCCACATAGAGCAGTTTGAGCACTTCCCGTTTACATGTACATGTCCATAGCCTACAAAGGTTTAAAAACGTTTTTGTAGAAAGATACTTTGGGTGGAAATGTGTTTAAATGAGTTTAATTCTGATCTATAAGAAATGCTTAAGTGCATTTTAAGTTTTAATTTTTGTTTGAAGATGTATGTTTGACATGCTCATGGGATGAAACATTTGATCTCAGTCTCTCAGGCTACAATTGCAGCCTTGTGGTGTTGTGATGTGGGAGAAGCAACATAGTGAAAGAAGTAGCTCAGGGTTTACTGTGGGGTAGACAGTCATCCAAATGAAGATTCATTTTCACTTGCTCTACTGTGGGAGCTTAAGCCATTAAGTCCTGAGTCTGTGGAGATTCAGCTAAAGCACTGATGTGCTGTTAGTCAGATGGCAGCATCAGCAATTTCTCAGTTTGACTAGTCGTTGAGAGTTTGCACACATGACATAAACAGAGTGAAGCCTACAGGATCAGCTGGGACTTTCTCACAGTTTCAGTGGTGCTGTTATGACTGTGTATGTTATTATTGCCCGAGTTCAGTTCCATAGAATATGAGTCAGTGTTGACTCAGCGTCTGTGTGCGTGTACGTGGGTAAATATATGTAGACCTCTTCTGGTCGAATCTCATATAACTTCTCTTACATATATAGTGCACTATGTGGGTTATGACATATTGGCCTAGCACTCAGAAAAGTGCACTATATGTCCATTAGGGACACTTGTCTGAATCTTAAATTTCTCAAAAGTAATACAAAGTGGAAGAGAGGGAAAGAGCAATAGAAGGGGAAAGAGAGTGAGTGAGAAGAGTACACTCTTAAAAGATGGTACTTCAAGGGTTCTATAGTGAAGAAAATAGTTCATAGAACCATAAACACTCAAGGAAGCGTGATTAAAGGCTTCTTTGCATCGTGGAAGGGTTCTTCAGATTGATGGATTTACCAAAGCTTTGGCAATGCAAATGCTAATATCTGTCAGGCCAAACAAGCAACCTTGAATTAAATTAAATTGACAGAATGCGAGAGAATGAGTGGGAGAGACTGAGAGAGAGAGAGAGAGAGAGAGAGAAACACTCTTTGAGGCAGCATGAAAAAGATTTTTTGTTAAACATTTCTAAGAGAGAAATAGAAGGCAGAAACAGAGAAAAATAGAAGGGAGAGAGAGCAGCATTCTTAACTTTTAGGCAGTGTGTAAAAGATTTTTGTCAGTGAACATTTCTGAGAGGTAGAGAGAGAGTGGGGGCAATGAAAACTCACTTTTCTCATTATTTTGGGATGTAAAGTGGGATTAAAGTTTTCCATGAGTGAATATAATGTATGAACAGGAATCTGGTTAGAAAAAGTGGGAATTATCACCTTGTAGTAATGCAAGTGTATCAGGCTTCAACAGCTTTTCCCAGAGTTTTAACCCACACAGTGTTAACATAAAACCTCTCTCTTTCACCCTCTCTCGCTCTCACACACAAACACAAGGGAGGATCCGTCTTTAAAACAAAATTACCCACAACCCCCTGCGCTCCTTTATCCAGCATATGAAAGGCGCAGGCCAAACGAATGACAAAAGGAGAGAGAGAGAGAATGTGGACAGGGTCAGGCTGGCTAAGAGGGAGAGGAGAGAGAGAGAGAGAGAGAGAGGAACTATGTGGGAAAGTGTAGAAGAGAGAAAGAGAAAGAGAGTCGCAGTCACACCTTCAATAAGGTTTAATGATTTCTTTACTGGCTTGTACACAAATGTACAAAACATATTACAGCACTCCATCATCTGACCACACACAAATCACAGTGTTACAAACGCTCAAAAAGACAGACACACAAACACAAACAAAACTGACATACAAAAAGAAAAGCTAAAACCAAACAACATTCGCATCACTCAAAACTGAAAACGTTTTGTTCACTGGAGACACAAGACGAAACAGAACTTGGTCCACAAAAAAAAAGAAAAGAAAAAAAACAGCAATCTACTCATTCACTTACACCTAGCGAGCTGTTCCACCCCCAGTGTCATAAATGTTATGACAAAAATGGAGTGAAACAACCATACATCGTGCAATTTTTTTATTTTTGTTACAATGATCTTACCATCAAATGTATTATTCCCCTTTCTTAGCATCAGGAGAGCACTTCAAAAAAGAAAGTGCCCTGGGATTTCAGCGTTTATATATATTCATATATATAAATAATATATATATATATATATATATAATATATATATATATATAAACACACACACAAGTACACCCAAGCATAGAGATACAGGCCTCTTTGCAAATGTAATGTAACACACACAAAATAGACAATATAACCTGGAGCTTTTATACAATAGTATTTTGTTGTGTTCCTTGTTTTTCTATTTAGAAAAAAATAAAATGTTGACATGAAGTCAACAAAACAACAGTCATCAGTGCAACTTTTTTTTCAAAAAGAGTAAAAATATCAAGTTTAAGACATGCGATGCATATTTATTCTCTTTATACCAATCGTCGATGGTGTATATCGCCTCTGTTGTTACTCCAGGTATAAAACAAGTTCTTAGTCTAACCAGGGCTTTTCAAGGGGCTAGACAAGCAATAACCAGTTAAACAGTGGTATGCATGCAAGACTCACTCGCTCTCTCTCTCTCTCTCGCTTTCCATTGCTCATACAGACACACTAGCACACATACACACACTGCATTCAGGAGACTTTCGATTCAAATGAATCTAACTGATATTTGTCCTCTTTCACTCACTGTTGGCTATTGTTTAAAAGAAAAAAAAACAAAAATTCAACTTACATAAAAGCAGCATTGAAATAAACATCAGGGTGCTATGACTCTTAAAGGCAGGTAGGTCTCTTTTCTCAATGAATCTGAAGATGTTTTTCCCCTGCAACAGTCATGCAACAGAACAGTCTTCTCAATAAAACTTTAGGTTAATAGTCCTGCTCAGTAGTAACTCTTCTTAAGCCTCAGCTCCTGCAGTTACCCGACCAGGCACTAGGGGGCATAAAAGGCTCCACATTATTTTGTGCAACAAAACTCCCTGCATTAATATTCATGCGATTAACAGTCCACTTTTTTGTAACTCCATTTAAAAAAAAAGAAACAAAAAATGCAAAACGCACAAATAAGCATTCGGCAGAGACAGACATTTATGACATGTCCACCATGCTTTTGCAAAAGGAAAAATAAAATGACACTATAACCATGTTTTGATGAACCAGTACATCTAAGCCTAATTTTGGTTGCTGGAAAATGTCCCGAGTGAAGATTGAGAGAAAAGGTGATGGCAATGTGGGGGAAACAGCAAATTAAATCATCAGCCTATGCTATGCCCATCTAAAGGGTTGACTTTTTTAGGGTCTGTGCTTCTGAGAGGCTCCGAAGTGGGAAAGGGAGAGGAGGTCAGGTCCTACAGAAGGACCTAGAAGAATCAGTAGGCTTAAAAACTGGTTGAACACTTTAAAGTCGAGGTAGCTGATATAGAGATCCAAACATACAGTAGGGAGAAAAAAGAGGACTGAGAATGAGAAACAGGCAGCTATGTGAGGCTGAATCTCCACCACGGGACTTTAGGCCACTATGAATCCAGAGCAGCTTAGTTCACCCTAACCGCGTTTCCTTAGGCTAAGAGATCTTATTTCTTAAAAAAAAAAAAAATAACAACCACAACATAATTTAAATGTATTATCTCAATGTACCTTCATAAATAGAACAAAACCCAGCCTGTATTCACAGTGATGACCAGGGTGTTAATAATAAAAAAATACTGAGAGAAGATTATAAAGTGTATTCCAAATGTGACTTTTCCTGATACAAAGCAAAAGCAGCTGTTTTTTTAGTAACACATTAGCCTGAAAGCTGCAGGGCGCATTGGACTACTCTTACAAAGAAAACACAGTAAAGCTATTGTGTACAGTACTTAACATCATTAAGTCACTTGCTGTTATCAAGATTACATACTTTTAAAAAGCATTGGATATAATAACGCCTTTTTGAAACAAAATGCCAAAATGTGTTCTGATTGATGGAAAAAGCTTAAAAATGCTTTTTAAAAACAGTGTTTAGCCAAATAAAGGATGGCCTTCATTCTAGACATTACCTCTTCCCTTTCAAAATTTCAAATATTCCAGCATACAGCCTCAAGTGCCATCTTTTTAAATATTTTTCCTCTAAATATTTCAGTAATGGTCATACTAGTGAAACAGCTGAGCAACAGATCAACGCCTCCAAGCCTAAAGCACGTTTCAGAGGCGTTATTTTTTCCCCGCCCGTATTCCGGCAGGTCCCGCCCTCCCTGCGCGACGATTGGCTAGTAGAAGCGTCTAGAACAGTGGGCTTCTTTTGAGTACAGCGCAGGACGCAAGGTCTTACTGCTCAATCCCAGCGCATAGTGGGCGGGGCTTGTCGGAAAACGGGTAGGGAAAGCGAAAATCAACGCGTTTCAGATACAGCACGGCTCGCAACAAGCATCTGCCCCCTAGAGTTCAGTTCGGAGTCCCAGTCTGATGTTTTACACATTCACGCACACATACGAAAAGCTTTAGTACCAACGCACAAAAATATATGCATGTTCATTTCTTCCATGCTGTCTGTATATTGTCAGATGTGACCATGTAGTTTGTTAAAGGCCCATTCACCCCAGCCCTCCCCCTCCATTTGGTTTTGCCATAGTCTGTCAATTTGGCAGAGCAAGGAAAGATACGGGTTTAAACAGGAACTTGTCTCTTTTGCTGTTGCTTATTTGTTTGCCAAGGTTTACCTGGCGCCGGAGGAGTACTTTGCCTTGGTGATGAGGTATAAAACGATGTCCTGGTGTCCTCCAAAAGCGGCGATGTGCAAAGCACTCCACCCTTCCCTGTTAGCCAGCCGGATATCTGCCCCGAATTTGACCAGCAGTTTGACCAACTCCAGGTTGCCGTCGATGACCGACTGGTGCAGCGCTGTTTGCCCCTCTGGCCCGAAGGAGTTCACGTTGAACTCGCAGCTGGTCATGTTCTGCAGCAGCGAGTGAAGCTCCTTCGTGTTGCCCTTCTTCACAGCCTCCTGGAAGACCCTCTGAGGCGCGGAGCAAGTGGATATATCCGCCTGGCTCATGGTGCACGAATGCGGGTCTGTGGCTCCGAGCTGCTCCGCCGTACGCTGGCAGGTTTGCCTTTAGTTAACCCTCACACTACTGGAGGTTTAGAACCAAAAACCCAGTTGCAGGCACTTGGGGAGCTCAGTGGAGGGAGAACTAAGTTTAAAACAACCAACGACGATTGTACATCCCAAAAAGGACAGAAAGCAAACGACACACTTGGTGTGCAAATGGAATGAAATGGCTAAATCCAAAAATAAACAACTAACAGAACCGTGTTTGATCCAGACCACACAAAAACGATGTAGGCTTATCTCCCGTTTCGCCTTGTCAATAGCAGCACCGGGGTTATGGCAGAAAAAATATAATAATAATAATAATAATAAAAAACGATTTATCGAGGAGGTAAAGTTATTTCAAAGCAGCAGACATCTCCGTGACATGCAGAATCCCTCGTGTTTGCAGTCGGTTTAACCTCCTTCTTTTTTTTCCCAGAAACGCTTAGAGCCGCTTAAATGTTTACACACAGCAAGGGTGACTGAAAAAAGCAAAAAAAAAAAAATGGTAATTACACTGAAAAGAGGAAAAACTGTGAACAAAAATATAGTTGTATTCACTCAGGAGTAGGTATACTTGCCTGTAAGGTTCTGGACGGGTCGTGGCGACTCGAGAAAACTGAGTGTCCCTCTCTGTGCCCCGTTGTTGGAGTCTCCCTGCAGTGGCTCTGTGGCCGGAGCTCCCGCCACCGCCGATATTTTACACCAACTGTTTTGCATAACAATGAGCGTCTAATACGCTCTTCAATTGGTAAGGCGGGGCTACGGGGAAGCTGATTGGCTGCAGAGGAACCCGGGGCGTGGCCTGATGCTTGAAACTGAAGATACGGGTGGCGTGGCCAGTCGGGCACACAAGAAGTCTGGCCAGAATTTCCCACGGAAAAACGAGTTGGGTCTAATGTGTTAATGGGCTTCGCAGTCACCAAAGGACACATTAGGCGTCCAAGAAAAAAGTATTAACAGTCACGGAAATAGTAGTATATGTTATAAATAAGCATTAGTGCATATATGGGTATTAAGGATTATATATCTAACCAAGAGTTGGGTTAACAGGACGTTAATCATAATAATTTGATTATTTGTGTAAGATGGTTGTTGGAAGGTGTTTAATTACATGTAATTCGATTTGCTCACTGTGAATTTGTTAACCATCTTCCAATTGCAACTTTTGTCTGCCATTATAATATATATATATATCACAAAAAAACAGTTGCAGTTAATCCTAATGGGCTGTAAATCTGTAGATGTTAATTCAGTAATTCTAACCCTCCCTTCTCCCCCAACTCCAAAGGCTCTTCATGGCCGTTCAAAAACAAAGGTTTCACTGGCTGTCTACAACTTTAGGCGTTAGAACGGCAGTAATCCCAGCTGTCATATAGTCACAGGCAATAAGACTTAAACAACAAAAGCCTGCACGACTTCCTCTGCAAGTGAGAAGACGTGTGCAAGGCGTCACTATTTCCCCCACCTGTATTCCGTCAAGCCCCGCCCTCTGATTTGGGATTGGCTAGTAGTTCAAACTCACAAGCCTGAACCGTTCTAGAACGGAGGACTGCTCGCCTCTCTAGAACACTATAGGACTACTCGCAAGTAGTCTGTCGTTCTGGAATGCTTGCCGTGAACACGTTAGGATTTGGTTTATACACACAAGTAGTCCACCATTGTAGAACACGTCTATGATTTACTAGGAAAACAACTTTAGAATATGCTAGGACTAGTAATTCATGCTAGTATTTTGTCATTATAGACCACACAAAGACCGGCTAGTGGTTTATACCATACAGTCAATGGTTCATACTCACAAGTCTGCTGTTCTAGAATTCTTTGAGAACGAGAAGAATTGGCTAGTACATTGTACTTACAAGTAATTTACCATTCTAGAATGACTCTACAACATGCTAGGACTAGCGACTAATACTAGTAGTCTGCCGTTCTAGAACACACTTGTAATTGGATTGGCTTGTAAGTAATACAAGTAGTCCGTTGGTTATAGAATGCACTAGGACTGGCTTAGTTGTTTGTAGAAGAATGACTAGAATGACTCTAGATCTAGAACACGCTAGGATTAGTAATTCATACCAGTAGCCCACTGTCTTAGAACGTATTTAGACTGTCTAGTAGTTCATACCCAGAAGTACTCTGCCATTCTAGAACTGTTCTAGAATGTGCTCGGATTGGCTGGTAGTTCATACTCACAAGTAGTCTGCCGTTCTAGAACTGTTCTAGAATGTGCTCGGATTGGCTGGTAGTTCATACTCACAAGTAGTCTGCCGTTCTAGAACTCTTGTAGAACGTGCTAGGATTGGCTAGTAGCTTATGCTCACAATCAGTTTGGCATTCTGGAATGACTGCTGAGAAAAAACCCATAGAATCCATTGAGTGTTTCTGTTGGTTCCTGATGGTTTTGTGATGTGTTTTGGCTTTTTTAACGGTTAATATCACAATATAAAGGATTCTAAATGCATGTTATGGTTTCTACTGGAAACTAGTGGTCTCAATTGGAAATCATTAAGCCAATGCGCATTAGAAATCAAAACCATAGGTTTTAATCCTAATGGTTTCTAGTGGTCTCTTTTCAGCAGGGAGGTTAGGACTGGTAATTCATACCAGTAGCCTGCCGCCATAGAACACAGCAGGACTGGCTAGTAGTTCTTATATTCATATTCTTGTCATATTTATTGTACATTTTTCTGTTGCACTGTTAATTATTTTCGCACAGTTATACTATTTGCATATCTGGTAGACGCTAACTGCATCTCATTGCCTTGTACTTGACAATGACAGTGATGTTGAATCTATCTATCGATCTATACTCATAAGTAGTTTATAAGAAGCGTTCTAGAAAATTAGGACTAGGTTCTAGACGGCCGTGAGTGTGAGCCTGTAGGCAGTACTGGCTCAGGGCGCATCGTAGCGCAAAGGGGGCGGCGTTTTGTCGGAAAACAGGCGGAAAAAAGCACGCCACGCGCTCGCTCTGACGCGCATGGCAGCTGTAGCGTGGGAACCGGACGGCTGCGATTCTCTGTGCTTCGGTTTTTCTCTCTGTGTCGCCTTTCCTCCTCACACTGCCGCATTTTGGTGTGGAAAGCCACACACGCCGTTTGCTCTCCGTTTGTACGGGCTACGTGGGTCTTCAAACGTTTAAAAAAACAACAACAACAACAGCAAAACCAAACCGCACCGATATCACACTCTTGCAAACCGCCTCGGCCTCTTTCGCGCTGATAGTTTTATTTTCCCACAGTAAAATCAGGCTTCCTGCCTCATTAGGCTGTTCGAGCTGTAAAACCTCAAAGAGCAAAAACTCTGCATTGCTTTCCGTTTGGTCCACGAGTTCTTCAACTATTAACCAAAAGAAGGAAAAAAATCCAACCTCGCTTAAAATTTAAACTGCAAGTGTCAAAAATCCTGTGGCCTAGCATTCAGCAAAACTTGGTGGACAAACAAAACTCTTTCACCTTTTCAGTCTTAGTCTTGTTCAGTAAAAGAAGTGAAATTAAATGTCAGAATATGTGGTCTGGGTGAATGAGTGAAATAAAAAAAAGCTCAGCTTAACTAGACAGTCAGTTCAATCTGTGAAAACTGGATATTAAGTTTAATATGGTAAAAAAAATGTGACAGAACAGGTTCTATTTGAGAGAACAGTACTTTCAATAAATATCTAGTAGTAATTGTCAGTTATTCACACAAAAATTAGGATTATCTTTTATGTTAAAAAAGGTATTCCCGTGTGACCAAAACACAATATTTATATATGAGATGTTAAAACACATGATGCTTTAACCTTTACAGGAAAAGGAACAAATATTCTTAATTTTAATGTAAGTTAATGCAACATGATTTTATTCTTTGGACCATTTCTCTTGGCCCATTCATTATGATATGTCCACACAATGTAAAGGACGGATGGCATTTGAAAATAATGTAAAAAAAAACAAAACAAACAAACAAAAAAAATGCAGTTGCAATCTGTAAGCATCTTGATGGGTCACATAAAACTTTCCTTTTGTACACGTCATAACGTTATCACAATACCTGACCGGAAAATAAAGAGCTGGAAATGGCAGCAGTGTTAAACATTTGCTTACACACATATGTGCTTTCTGAAAGCACAACTTCTTCCCAGCATTCCGATCAGTGAGACAAAAAGTGCACTTTGGCGAGAACTGTAGCATGTGGCCAACAGAAGCGCTCTCTAACCCTGCCAGGGTAGAGCTGAAACATCTGTCTGCTAATCAGATAGATGTGTCTCTGTGATGGCATGCTGGAAAATATTTGCACAGAAAAGCAGAGATCTTCCACTGGACAGCTATCTCCAGTACAGAGGCATTTGCACCATTTATGTTTCTTTACCTTCTACGAGCCGCTACACTTCTGATTTGCCTTATTTCTGTGGAACAGATAAGAGGCCTAGCAATACATATGATAATATTTTATTGTCCGTTTTCACAGAAATTTATCTTGCACAAACCCGCTCAAAAATAATTCCAGAAAATACATCAATACAGAACAAACACATAACAATGGACAACACCATGTCCATCCATGTCCAAAAGTATCCAGAAGTCGTTTCTAATTAATGAATTCAGCTACTTTAAGGTGCACCTATTGCTGGCAGTGTGCTCTCCATAAAAAAAAAAAACATTGCCAAGAGAATCCACAGCCACACATGAGCCTTAGGTCACCATGCCCAATACCAAATTCTCTGGAGTGATGGAGCTCCTACATTACCTTTGGATGAGTAATCATTCAATGTAAGTTCTTGACCTCACTAATGCTCTTGTGGCTGATAGATAATATAGGGTGTTACTGCAGCAATGCTGGGATAAACAGGTGTCTACAAACTATTAGATCATATCCTGGAATAAAAATGTGGTTTTGTTTTCAAAGCAAAGGATACATCTTTTATTTTTCACCCCAGCTTTATGTTCAAAAGAGCACAGCTTACTTGATAAATGTTTATCAACCTGAAATTGGTGTTTCTTGGGAATTTTAAAAGAAATTAAAACTTGTTTGCTGCATGTACTGATCAGATCAACAGCAGACAATTATTGAGAGCAACTGTATCATGTGCAATCATAACAAAGCTTAAAAACTCAACAAATCATTGCTTTCCAAATTGTATTATAGTAAGGTTTATGCCCTAGAAAAGACAGACACAACCCTAAAAGTAATGAACATGAACATGGCTAGCAAAGATCAGTACACACAGAGTAATCTCCTACACCCTAGTGTTGAGTGGGCCAAGTGTGTATCAACTCTGTGAGTTATAACCTCACTGTGGGAGTTGGACTGCAGTGAATTGCATACCTCCCCCAGTGTCAGATGTACTGTACTTCACATATGAGTGTATCATTTTGGTGTCTCGCCACATTAGCAGGCCAGCAGACCCCTCCCAGCGTCAACGAGGGCAAAAGTTGTGCTATTAAAAATTCATAAGCGCAGCAGGCAGCTCAACTTCATCGTACAGCTGTTGCAGCCCTTCGCTATTTGTACTGGAAGCCATGCTTCATTAAAAATATATACATCACAGAAACACTGGTGCTCAACTTGATCTGTCCGAAACCTTGATAAAATATACACAGCTCTCGCAGAGTAGCTGTTAAAACACTGTTGAAAGGATGTATATTTTGTTTGGGCCCTTTTTGTTTTTTGGGGTTCTTTGTGGAGAAATATTGATACTTAGCGATTGTGATAGGTCTTTTTGAGAATTGATCCTCACATGAAAATACCGATATCAGATGTTTTCTTTCAGCAGTAGACTGAATGTCAATCACTTTATGATACTGAATCTTTGATGCTGAAAAAAAAAAATAACTGTCTAGAACAGGAACTACTTTTCTTTCCGCCTGTGAATAATATTAGATCATGTGGCAGCTTATACCAATACATGTGTTATATTTAATGTCCACATTTATGGGTTTTCACGGAAAACACACAGATTCCACCTTTTTATGTGCACAAGATGTGCAAAAGTAATTTACGTCGCCCATCCATAGTGTACAGGCATTTGGGGTTTTAGCGCCTCGGCTTAGGCCACATTTTACAAGCTGAGGCGTTATTTTTTCCGCCCGTATTCCGCCAAGCGCGCTATAGCCGGAGTGGCTAATAGTTCGTACTAGCGAGGCGTTCTAGAAAGGCGGGCTGCTTTTGAGTATGAACAACTAGCCAATCCCAGCACGTTCTAGAATGCAGGCTCGCGCATAAGTATGAACTTCTAAGCCAATCCAAGCACGGGAGAGCGGAATACCGGTGGGAAAAAGAAAAAAAAATAACCCGCATGGCGGAGCTAGTGTGACGTCTCAGCAAAGTGGGCGGAGCTGCGGAGCCCTACAGAGCCCCAGTACCACGTGTTGCAGGAGCGTGGGAAAGAGGCGAGCTTTTCTTCCCAGCGAAGAAAGACCGAGGATCGAATAACAGCGCTGCAGAAAAAGCCAGAGTGAGTGTGGAGGTAGCTCAGGAGAAAAAACCGACAAGGGCACGAACACGAGATTATTTCCAGCGAACGAAAACACGGTCCCCGAGATACAGTTACAGTAAATACTTTTGATAGTTATATTCAGAAGATGCGGACGTAGGTTGCTCCGTTGAGACTGTTGAGACTGTCACACATAGTGTCAAAGAATCTATGCAGCCCATCCTGTTTTGATGCTTGCAAAACACCCTGGCAAGACTGGGGAGCCAAATGCCTTCTTGGCTTCAGTTCAGCTGGACTGCTTTTGGACTTCTACAAGAGCTCTGTATAAATAAATTACAAATTGATATTGCCCTTTTTAAGTATTGGTTTGTATTTATGATTTATGATCTAATTTTACATTTGAAAACAAGTAGTAAACATTGTGATTTGTTGATAAGATGTTCCAGACCATTGGTGAGTTTATCAATATGTGAAGCAGATTATGTCGAACACCCTTTGTGTGTCTGTGGGGATAAAGTTTTGCTAAATCAAATACATAATTAAATCAATACTCTGATAAATTAATGCCTAAACAAACTGGCTACCATATAACATGTTATTTAAAGGCTACTTACATAACACAAACACTGTATAACATTTATAAAGCAATGTTTAAGTATTTATGAACTGCTTGTGCCAGTAAGCGCAATTTGATGTAAGGCCTTATATTAAGTACTGACATAAGTAGGCTCAATCGGAAATGGTGGGTGGGCATTTGTTCCATTTAAACACTTTTATGATGCATCATTAATAAATAATGGAGCTGACACTGTGAGGCAGAGGCATATTTATACACACAAACACACAAGTAGTGGGCAAAATTTATGTCATGGTATAATTAAGATTACTGGCAGTTTCGGTAGGTATCACGGTATAGTGTACTTCTGTATTTTTTCCAAATAAAACCATTTTGGATGCTTAAGTCAGCCTGTTTTGAGATTTAAAATGTTGTATTATTCTAGATGTCCCTTCACTTCTATTTAGAACCACATTTAACTAAATTTAAAATATTTATAGACAATAAATAGATGTCAATATTGCTTTCTAACCCTAACAAGATAAAGGAGAGTGTATGTAAAGCCCACAGTGGCTTCTCTGAGCATGGCAAAAACAGTGCTGAGTGTTGTTTTATGTATGAAAGTCATTTGTTTTATATGTGTGTCTCTTAAACGTGAGCTTTAATCTATGAGCATCAAATTCTGCTGGAATTTAGTAAATATTACAAGCCGTTCACACTATTAGTGTGAGCAGAGTAGCTGCGGAGCCTCTCGGCTTGTAGGCAGAGCACGTGGTGTTGCCTGAAGCAGCTGGCTGAGCGAGGGCACCATAGGCAGTGCACATGGAAAGGTGGCTAGTCTCCATGCTATACTAATGGTACAAAAGTACTACGAAGGCGTTAACTGTAGTGAACTACTTTAAATGCCAGGATTGTTACATTTCATAAAAATCATTATGTAGGTAGCATTCAAATGGTGTTACCTCTTTTTTAGCGTAACTTGTGAAGGAAAGGACATACAAGACTACCAAATCAGATCTCTTAGCAGCTATGCTTAAAACTGGCAAGTGCAGCAAGTTCCGTTTCCTAAAATTTCTAGATCAAATAAAAAAAGGTCCTCAGAATTCCCAACAAAATTATGTTCTTTGGAGTAATGGAACCCCATCCAATACTCCAACATAGTGGAAGAGTAGATGGCTTTACAGCAGAAAAGGGGGACAAAGAGCCTATTAATACCCCTGATTTCAGAAGAAATGTTGGATGAGCTGGTGTCTACCGACAGTTGGACATACACTGGATATCCCATACTGAACCAGGGCACCTAATGACAGATAGTCATTTAATCTATTTTTGTTGGTTTCCCCTCAACTTTTTAAACAAGTATGAAGTTAGAGTATTAAACAAAATATAATACATGAAATTAAAAAAAAAAAAAAACATTAATAACATTATGAGGTGTTAATTATACAAGCACAGAGAAAACACCACGCCCAGAAACCATTACGAATGTACTGGTGTGGTTGTAAACTTCTAAAAACAAAACTGAGCTCATATAAAAACAAATCGTGAAACAGTTTACCAGATGATGTAACTTTAACCAGAACCAGTATACTGACAGTGTCCATGGAAAAAAGTGACAAGAGTGAACCTGTCATCCCTGCTATGCAGCAGTCCTTTATGAACAGATATGAACAAGACAGCAGAGAAGAGAACGGTCTCTTAGTTCCTTGAGCACTTGGTCTTAGTTCAGAGTCTGGGAGACAGCGAGCAGCCAAATGGACTTAAACGGTCTGTCTACACAGTCTTTGTACACTTTTAGCTAGATCCAGATCAAGACACAGTTTTAACTGTTTCCAGATTAGAAGCTCAGCAGTCAGTCCTGAAGGTTAGCTCTTACAGCAATAATTCAGCATATATATAATTTTGCCATTATGCAAATATAGTTGATCAACCAAGACATGCTTAGTGCCTGAAGTTTGCTTCTTCAGTTTTGTACTAGAGCTGTGAGATTAATGTAGCTAGCAAATAATTAAAGCTAATAGCCCACCAATTACCATTTTGCCAAAAAAAGAGAGGAAAAATACAGGCTGCTATTGCTACCAATAACTAGGCTATGTGCACTTTTATAGACAGCAATATGTAGTACAGTGTCAAACTACATAAGCAAGTAATTTTCAGGTTATTTCAAACCTCAAAGCAAATATGTGATATTTTAGACATGCAGTTTGCACTATTCTAATTGGTCTACTGAATTATCGCTGTAACGGCAGTCTTTCCAGGTTCAGCTCATGGTTGACTGGACACTTCCCCGTCCGATAAATGCAGCACTTCCTCGAACTGAGACAGCACCCGATCATAATGCGTCCCTTCCCAGAACACTTTCCCGCAGCCCGTACATATAAAATACTCTGGGATCCGTGGGAGCAGACCTGGAGGCACAGTCTCCAGCTGGATCTCGGCACCTCCACGAAACCTGAAGGTCTCAGGGTCTAGGACTGAACGAGAGGCCCAGCGGCAGTGAGGGTTGAACGTTTGGGCCTCTGGGGACCTCCAGCCTTCTGGCACCTGAGTGTTATGCAGATCTGAGTTATCCTGAAGTAGGCCTGTTATAGGTAGGATAGAGAATAATGTAAGTGAATTAGTTAGAAGAACAGTTTAGTGAAAAATCTAAGTTACACAGTTTCCCCTTAAGCCACACTCAAACTGGACTGTTGCCTCATTATTTTGTTTGCCAGGGTGGAGCAAAAAAAAATAGCAGAGTATGAGCGTTCCTAATTTCATGTGGTTTCTGAGGGAATTCATAGTTTGGCGAACAGCTGATGTTAGCTGGTTGTTTTTTTATTTTGTTTTTTTTGTAAATGTAAGTGACATGCAACATTATGTCTATTATGTCTGAAGAGCAGCTGCTCAATTTTGTTTTTTTCCCCCAGAAAGAAGTGACCACAAATCGTATTCTTGTTTACTACTGCTTCCAAAGTTCATAAATTCATTGGATTAAAGTTCACCTAGATAAACCAGCACTACCGAAAGCAAATTCCTCTATTGCCTTCCCGTGTCCCTTACCATTCAAGTATAGTGGCTTTTTTGCCAGGCAAATTTTACTTGCATTCGGTATAACCACAGCTTTACCCTAAAGTTAGTCACGTTCCCAGCAATTCCACCAAGTTTTCAAAAATTCTGCATCATTTAATCATAGAGATGTGAGAAAGTCATGGTGGTTTTATGTGAAATAGTTATAAAGATAACTGTTGGAAAACTTACCAACTTTTTTTTAGACGATGCAATTTTTAATGTTGTGGGACCTTTACACCAAATCCAAAGTATCTTTCTGTCTAAATACACAGATTTTTTTTTCTTTTATAGGACTGCATCTAAGTAATGCATACAAAAAAGACAACCACACAAGGAGTTCCACCACCTATTACAAGAGCTAGCTTAAGCTGCATAACGAGCAATTCTGCAGGTATTTCCATCTGTCAGTGAGGGAATTCAAGGATATGCTTCTGCTTGTTGGTTATTAAAAAGGAGCAAATTAACTATTGTTATGTACAGTTACTGTAACGTATAACGTTTAAAGTAACGTTTAAAGTTATGTATTTTTTTTAGTCAGCACTTGCTTGTTGTAAAAGCTTCTGTGCCCTGTTACAATAAAGTGACCAGATTTCAGAAATGAAAACTGGGTACATTTTCAGTTTATTTGAAATAAAAAAAGTTTGGACAGTTCCAGTTCCATGTATTTTGACCATGGTAACTGTTACACTGTAATAAATTATGGTGAAGGCCGAAGGATAAAATTAGGTACTAACTTAGTAACTTTCTAAACCGTGTCAGAAAAGCTGGCTCAACATTGTGATGTCTGTCAGCCATCGATGATGGATGATGACATCGTCTATCTGCCCAACCCTAGTTAATAATGGTAAAACAGTTGTAAATCTAAAATTTTACTTGGCTATTTTGCCTTACAATTCCCTGCATAAACCTCTCCAAGACTTGGCTGTTTTAGGACAAAACATACTGTTATCTATAAATGTGGTCAGCAGTCAAATCGCTAAAAACAGTTGTGGAAGCCACCTAGAAGCTTGAATATCATCTATATTAATAAATAAATAGTTAATATTTATACATTTATCCATCCAACAGCAATTAGGAGGATTTAGGTCTGCGTTTTGCACCACTGAAAAATGATTTCAGCAAAAAAAAGTTTGTTTACTAAATTAACAATAACCTGTTAATAGAAGTAATTCAGTCATTAGCACACAACCGTCACTTGATCGACTGACCTCGTTTGTTCAACATCTCTGTCATGTCTTCTCTGGACACCTTCAAGTATTCATTATTATTGCATGCCTGAAGGAAAAAAAAACAAGAACATAGTTATTTTTTTTACATATTAATGAATATGTGCTTTCATGTAAATGAATCGATTTCATCTAGGAATTAACAACCCCATTATAATAAGAACAAGAAGGCGTCCAAATCAAACATGCAGCACAAAGTTCACAGAATTCACATACTTCGAAGGGGAGCATTATTCAAGGACCATGAAAAAAAAGACATGTAATGACTAACTTTTTATTAGTTTTGGAGTTATAATTTTACATGCTGACAGAGACGTTTCTGAGGAAAGAGTGGTGAGACAGATGACTTGGGAGGCACAAGCGGAGTCAGACCACACATTTCACACACGCACACACACACACACACACACACACACACACACAGACACACACACACTCTAGTAGGTGTGAGGGCAGGAATATGTCTAGCCTCTGTGAGTTCACACCCCAGTGTGGCTTTTGTCTGGTCTGCAGAGTCTTCTTCGCGACAACAGTCTGCAGTGTGAGAGTGACCCCCGTCCCTTCAAACAACATCCCATCGCTAAAAGCCCTGATGCCACGTCTGATCCCCACCCCAAACACATACACAGCCACAGTCTGTCACTCAGGACATGCTGCTCACTCATCACACATCTTAGTTAAAAGATGGTAATTATATACTGCAGTCTATCTCAAACCCAGGAGCCTGTATGTGGATCCACACTTCAATACTCAAATTTCATAACTGCATAACTTATATACAGTCATATGTAAAAGTCTGAAGACCTCCAGTCAAATTACACAGTTTCTTGATTTTCTAAGTGAAAATAAGAACACATCCTTAACACAGAATGAACGTAAACAAGGCATTTTCTCCTAATTTTAGTGCAGAATATATATATATATATATATATATATATATATATATATATATATATATATATATATAAATAAATAAATATATAGACCACATTTTACATTTTTCCTCCGAATATGTTACATTCAGCAAATAAACAGTAACTGTACATTAAAATGTGCAGAAGTGTGTTCTCTGTAGAGCATGTGTTATCTTATTTTCAGTTAGGAAATCAGCAAAACATGGAATTTGGCCAGGAGCGCTTAAACGTTATACGCATACAACTGTACAAGTTATCAGATAATTCAACGCAGTTACTGAATAATTAGCTTTACGGTTAATAATGGAATAAAAAGTGAAGGGTTCAATGGGGTGAAGAAACAGTTCGCACATTTATGTCCATGTTTCATATTAAATAACCGCTGGTCCATATGTTCTCTTATGTTGCCTGAGTTTGGAAAAAAAAGTTTTAAATCAACCAAACCAAATGGCTAAAAAGTGACTTTTAAAATGTATCATTTTGGTCACATGCAACTAATTATTTTTTAAACAAAACAAGAAAAAAAAATCCATTGTGCGTGAAAATATGAAAATTACATCAATCTAAACAAACAAAAAAAAATAGGTACTATTAGGTGTTCATCCAACTACAAATCATTTCAGACCGATCGGAACATTCATTCAACGTTAAATCATTCACACCTATAGGCATTTTAACTCATCATACTACACTTAATTGTTGGACATAAATGGGTTAAGTCGGAAAAATGTAATATAGTTATAATTCAATATATAAATATAATGTTTATTTATATATATATATATATATATATATATATATATATATATATATATATATATATATATATATATAAAAATGCCGCAGCAAAAAATATTTCTATAATGCAATATTTAAAAACATCTGCTATATTATGCAATATTAAAAAACATATTATATTATGCAATATTAAAAAAAAAGTTTTTACTGTAATGCAACATAAAGAAGAAATGTTGCTATAGTGCAATGTACTAATTGTTGCTATCATACAATTGAAAGTGAACTGGCACCAACTCACATTATGCAAATAGAAGAATACAAATTGGAGGCTACTACCTTCCAGTCACTGCCTTGTTAGCAGGACTGGCCAAAGTATTATTTTAATTTGAATGAAAGAGGTTTTAAGGAAGGCAGTCAGTATATTTTAGATTTTGTTTAGATCAGTAAACTGTCTGAGTGTTACAGACGGCGCTGAACAGATGTACAGTTTAGTGCGGCACATTTGTTTAGCATGAGGTGACATGAAATGATCTAGGCATATGAGTGTGTGACCGACACAGGTGCCCTTCACAATCCCTTGTTGCTCACTCTCACGCTCTCCCAATTCCACCTTCGATGATTTCTTCCCACACACACACTCACACTGCGGTGGCGGGACGGTGAAAATACTGGCAACTATTTACCCAACTCCTGAGTTTCCCATGCCAGAGCAAGTCAAAACCTGCTTGGGCAACACTCTGAGCTTATCCCAGTACAGCCCTGCTTTCCACCCTCTGTGTGCTCGCCTTGAGAACCATGCACGCAAGCTAGCACTCCCTCACGCATGCACCCACACACACACACACACACACAAAACAGAAAGTCAGTCATGACTAGAAGGAACCCTCTGGCAAACGTGTTAAAAGCACATGTAGGAGCCAGGTGTTTTTGTTATGGGTCCAGCCACCATTTTCCACATGGCTGCCTTAGAGTTTCAAAGAGTAGGTTTCTTAAAAGCCTCACAAACTACTGAAAAAGCAAATAAATGAATTACCACCATTTATTTATTTCATTTCCAGTCAACAGGGCCATTACGCACATGCTATTTATTTTTCAACCTCAAGAAAAAAAGCATATTTAGATTTTAGATTTATTTCCTTTATTCATTGTGTCCAGCCTTTGCCTTCATTACAGTTTCCACTCTTTTTGGGAGACTGGCTGTCATTTTTTTAAAGTTTTATCTGCAGGGATATTTTTACAAAGTTCAGTCTTGCATCTTACCATCTGATCTCAAACATTTTCAGAGACGTTGAGGTCTGAACTCGATGGACAGTCGATTGTTCTGAGAACACCAGCAGCTTTTGTTTGTAATGAATTTATTTGTAATTTGTATTTGAATTTTCCTCATTTGAAATGTATATATTTATTTGTAAATGTTCTTCCTTTCTGTCTATTTCCTTTTCTCAGCTTCTTGACAGCTACATATCCTTTCAGACCCATAGTGTTGAGTTGTCTTCTCACAGTGGAAGGATTGACAGAAGCACCTGTTAATTTTTTCAGATCTGAAGCAGTTTGATTTTCTCCTCTCTCTCAAAGATGAAAGCTTTAAGTTCTGTTTCTGATGGGGACAGTGTTGGTGGTCTACCAGGTCTAGCAAGTCCCAATTTCTATTGAAGTGTCTTTAAATCATTTTGTGAACTCTTGTTTTTTATTGATTCTCCTTCCTATGCATATGGATAACTTTATATCTAATCCCCTCAGAAATGCCTCCTGAAAAATGAATAGCTTGTCCTTAATGACCACTTTGACTTGAAATTCAATAAATGAAGTGTGGTCTTTGACTCTTGCACTGTGCTGTACATTATCTAAATGTCAAGCAGATATTAGAAAAGTCAAATGACATAAATCACACAGCAGAGCGGCTGTATTACTTATCATCAAAACAGGACGAGTCGCTCTGTTAAGGGAATAAAGTGTGCTCTGACCCTGCTTAGTGTTCTCCAGACATTAACACAACACTGGGCCCACATAAGGGTTCAACAGCAACTTTTCTGAATAAGATTGCAAGAGAGGGAGAGTGTGATAGAGTGACCGCAGACTGGCTGAGGGGTGGAGGGAAAACAGTCTTTCTGATTCACACAGACGTTGTATCTCTCTCTCTGCCGCTCCCATGGGAAAATCCTGGACTGCACACAGGAGGCAGGACTGCTGGGTCACATGACCAGGCAGCCAGCCAATGGCGTGAGAGCGCTTTGATTCAAACGGAGGCAGAAGCAGGTAGTTTGCTGCCAGTGTGGGAATAAAGGAGGGGGGGGTCTTTTCTCACACTGCAAGCCTTTGCAACGTTCAGAACAGTGTTGGACGATCAGTGACAAAGTCACCCCCCATCGCCCACAACGCCACAATTACACTGAGATCAGATTTCTATATTAATTATATGAATGTTATCTGTACATAATATTCTTTCAGGTATAAATTGAGCACCAAAAGAGCCCTTTCACCACAATAATGACAAACAGCCAACAATTAACAGAATCACACACACACACACACACACACACCACACACACACACACACTTAATATAAAACAGAAAGTTTTCCTCAACTCTGTAAATTAGACCCAAGAGTGCTCATTGACTTTTAGTGAACTGCCCAAAGTTGACCCCCCTCTTCTCTTCCATACTGCCTTAAGGTGTTTTTCATTAGTGGGCCTGTCAGAGCTAATAGCCTGTGGTTTTGTGTGTGTGTGTCTGTGATAGTGACTCGATTCCTCATGTTGGTCGAGACAGCAGAATGTTTGAATAATCATCTTGTTTTAAACTGTCCACTACAAATAAATAGCAGATATATCTGGATTGTCACAAACTGTCCACTGTCATGTGAATTTTTTCAAAATTAAAAAACAGTAAATAGATTGACCGACAGAGACAAACAGACAATCAGATAGCTGTACATAGCTGGCTGGTCATATATATAATTTGGGAAAAGTTCACATGTAAACATATTATATTAATTTCTGTTTACATACAACAAAATATTAATTTAAAAAAGTAACAAAGTAAGCTGGTCACAAATTGTCCACTAATGTGCACTTTTTCAAAGCACTGCCCACACGCATGTCTTTCAACGTTTTTCTCTTTCTAAAATAAATAAATAAATATAAATCAATAGCAGTAGTAGAAGACCACTGCCTGTTCCCAAACAGACCATTTGCACTTTTTCAAAACTTTGTCCTCTAGCAACTTTAACATTTTACCATCTTTCGTTTAAAAAAAAATCTTCTAAGAAACTTTACAGCTGCACAGAAAAAGTCTGTTAGCTTTGGACCGTTGCAGTGGGCTGAAGGCTGGAGTGTGTTGGCAGCTTTGCCTGAGGGGACGTGGTGTACGATGGAACCCCACGCAGGGGCAGGGGGAG